CATGTGTATGCGTATAGGTATGCTGATGCATATGCATATGGATGTACCTTCAGCGTGTCAGTGAGCGAGCTGAGAGATCTGGTGCAGAGCTCCATCACTGAGTACGAGCAGAACGTGTCTCTGACTTTAAACTGACTGACGGCCTGAAGCCACAGCGCAGGATTCACCTCCAGATCCATCGGAGAGATCAGAACAGACTGCTGCCCAGCATACACACTGCACACACACAGATAAACATGTCAAAACTGTCCCAGCTGGCCGTTAGTTCTGCAGAGAGCAAAGGTGATCTGTACCTGCAGAGACACCACAAGACGAAGCCGAGGCCGCAGTACGGATCCAGACACACAGCCACTTCACGAGACGGATACAACTCACACTGCAGCTTCACCGAGCGACACAGAGCACTGGTGGCATTGTGAGACATCTACACACAAACAATCAGAAACTGAAATGACAGTTGAAGTTACAGTAGAATTATAAGCCTTTGGAACAAAATCAGTGCCTATAATATTGAAATAAGCCTGTCGAATAGCAACTGAAAAAAATAATACACTGAATTAACAACTGGTTGCGTTTTAATGACTTGAATTGCCAGAGTTTGTAATTTTAGGTCCTAAAATTGAACACAGCTGTTTATTTCATTACTTAAATCCAATACTTCATTTTCAACTTGCCGATTTCCGAAATTTTGGTTTTGTTTCAAAATAGGAAGTATAATATTCAAAAGGCAATTTTAAGTTCATTTTATTTTAATTCAATAATTTGCTTCCATGAATTCAGTAGTTCAAAATCTGCTGTTAAAATTCAACATTACATCCGGGAGCTGAAGAAAAAGAAATAGATTGCAGAAAGCAAAGATTGTAGATGCTCTACGAGGAGAGTGTTGGACTTTCAGCTGTGAAAATTAAACCACACTGGTCTGAACTAAACTGAACATCAACTTTGAAAAATGGACTGACACATTTTTAATTTACTAGAACATCTATGCTAAGCTGCTTTGACACAATCTACATTGTAAAAGCGCTATAGAAATAAAGATTGAATTGAACAACACTATTAAGAGATACAAGGAATCAAACCTTCACTCCAGCCAGCATTCCTGTAGTGGACACACTGAAGTCCAGATACGCTAATGAGTCTGGATCACATGGCTTGAACAGCAGAGGACAACGTCTCTTTGGCAAGTCATCTATTAAATACACACAAGCACACAAACACACTCCTAATGAGCACCTGGCAGATGTGGAGTGTAAAAAAAATAGACTAAATGTCTCTCACAAACTCACCTGTTTCCAAGATTGGAGGCCACAATTTAAAGTCCACAGCCACCGATGCGTCTCTGGACTTGAGAAGTTTTGATATCATTTGGCTGGTCATCACACACACTGACCGACTCACCTGCACACAACAACGATATTTACATTCACTCAAAATGCTTATCTGAGACTAAAAAGTAGATACCAGTTCTGCATGTGTAAGATTCATAAAGTCACTAAGCTCACAGGCTTTCACAAAAGCTATTTATTCCATCTAAAAGAGAATAAACTGCCTAAAACTACTGATTCAAAGACAGCAGGTGTCTATGTAACAACTATAATATTGATACGTGTATTGTTTTGAACGAGTCACAATATAAAATGCAATTTTAAAGGCTTTTCCAGGTTAATTAGGTTAACTAGGCAAGTTAAAACAATTAGGCAAATCATTGCATAATGGTTTGTTCTCCCGAAATAAAACAAACAAGACTAAGACTGTAATAAAAAAACATTACATAAAATACTGTCAATTTTCATTTATAACACTCCATTTTTGCATAAAGTATGCACAGCAGCTATGCTAATTATTTTCTTTATTCTCTATTTCCCTTCGGGGATATTCATTCCGAGGTTCCTAGAGATTAAGCAGCGCCATTGACGCAATCCAAGACCTATAAAAAGATGATCCCAAGGTATCCATAATCCTGGACCAGGCCGTATCCCGAGCTGATGCTGTGGTCGTCATGGAGGAATAGAGTGCATGACACTGATTCCGGAAATTCCACTGTGACAAACAAGTCCCCGCATTGATCCTGTGGGCCAGCCTGAACTCCAGCTGGTGCCCTACTCACACCAACAGTTCCCCACAATGGACGTCCAGCTTCTCCAGCCTCCGGTGCCTAGACTGCAACTCCACACAGGAAGTTTGGCCAGAAAAATGATGGTCATGCCCAATAGAGCCTAGTTTCTCTCAAGGTTTTTTCCCTTCACTTCGTCAATTGGTGATGTTTTTTCATCACCACTATACCCACTGGCTTGCTTGGATTGGGACTTGTGAAGCTGCGCATCAGTGGACTTGCTCTACATTGTTTGAACTTTCAGCAGTGAAATTTAAACCACACTGAACCACACCTACTACAACAACAACCACAGCAGCAGCAGCAACAACAACTACTACTACCACAACAACAACAACAACAACAACTACTACTACCACCACCACTACTACAACAACAACAACTACTACTATCACCACTGCAACTACTACAACCACCACTACAACAACAACAACAACTACTGATACTACAACTACCACCACTACAACAACAACTACTACTCTTACTAATACTACAACAACAACTACTACTACTACCACCACCACTACAACAACAACAACTACTCTTACTACTACTACTATCAACACTGCAACTACTACAACCACAACTACTAATACTACAACTACAACAACTACTACTATTACTACTACAACAACTACTTTAACTACTACTACCACTGCAACTACTACAACTTCGACTACAACTATAACAACAACAACTACTACTACTACTACAACAACAACTACTAATATTACAACTACAACAACTACTTTAACTACTACTACCACTGCAACTACAACAACTACAACTATAACAACAACTACTACTACTACAACTACCACTACAACAACTATTACAACTACCACTAAAACAACTACTACAACCACTACAACAGCTACTACTACAACAACTACTACCACCACCACCACAACTACTACAACTTCAACAACTACTATTACTACTACTTCTACTACAACAACTACTACTAATACTACAACTACAACTAGTACTATTACTACTACCACTAAAACAACAACAAAAAACTACAGTACTACTACCAGTACAACAACAACAACAACAACAACTACTACCAGTACAACAACCACTACTACTATTACCGCTACAACAACAAAAACAACCACTACTACTACTACCGCTACAACAACAACAACCACTACTACTAATATCGCTACAACTACTACTTCTACTACTACCACCACTAGAACAACTACTCCTACAACATCTACTACTATTACTACTACTACAACAACAACTACTACTACTACAACTACAACAAATACTAGTATAACCACCACATAATACTACAACTACTATCACCACAACAACAACCACTACTACTACTACTACAACTACTATCACTACAACAACCACTACTAATACTACAACTATTACTATCGCTACAACAACAACAACTACTTCTACTGCTACAACAACTACTACTGCTAATAATAATAATAATAATAATATTTAAAAATAATAATAATAAGGGCTAATAATACTCATCGGAAACCAGCAAACATCTACCATTTATTGTTTTGACAAGTCACAAAATTAAAAACTCCCCATAGTAATATATTTTCCTCAAGTTGAGCATTGAAACTGGTGATTATCGTAAGGGATATTACTTCTTTTGTTTGTTTTTGAGGTATTTGGCCAATCACAAAGCACTTGGGAAGCTGGCCAATCAGAACACTCTGGACTTTTCAAAGGCAGGTGCTTTGCAGAAACCAAAACTCAGTTAGAGAATCTGAGACAGACTGATGGCTAGGGATATGACCAAGCAATCTCAAATACAATTTATCATATTAATTGATATTGATAATTATCATAATAAACATCAAGTTAAAGGAAGATATTTTTGCTCCACAGTGAGTTATGGAAATTAAATTACTGTAATTGCATCTCTTCATATGTCCATGTTAATAATACAATTTCTATCCCTATCCTTCCATAATACAATGGATCAGTTACTACAGTAAATCCATGGTACTGTAAATTCAAGAACAGCCTTCTAACTGGGTCATTCCTGTTTGTCAGTGTCCTTCAGAGCCTCATTTGGCTGCCAGATGTTTGTCCTCACCTCTAGGATCATTTTAACTGTAGGCAGCGTAGTGGAGATATTTTGCGGATGAGGGGGTCGCACGGTTATAGGAATGCAGCCTGCATACAGACAGCCATAAAACGCAGCAATCAGATCCAGACCTGAAACACAAACACACACACACAAACACGACATCTTACATTTGTTTGTTTGTCTATTTAAAGCCACATCAGCAACTTATTATGGCTTCATCAATGCATATAAAAACTAATTACAATGTAAAAAAATACTAGCTGCCTTCGATTATTTTGTTGAATCAAATTACATGAACCAAACTGACTAAAAATATGAATTTAAACTTTGTATAACTTAGACAAATGAATTAAAACCTGGTTAATTATTGAAATAAGTTAAAGCAACATAAAAACCTTTGTTGCCTTGACTTTGTCATTAATTTTTACATAGTGTACATAATTATAACAACAATGTCATCAATAAGAGATGGTACAAAACGAAAGTAAATTTTACATTAAAAGGTACCACTTTAGTGTAGGTCACACATAATGATATTAAATACTGGCTTATTACCTGCCTATTATTAACTGCTCATTAGTAGCTATAAAGTATGATATTTTTCTGCATCCCAAATCCTACCCAAAACTTAAACCTAACAACTACCTTACTAACTAATAATTAACTAACGCGAATTAGTAGTTTATTAAGCTAGTAGTGTAAGCTAATGATCTGTTAATACCGTGCATTGTGACCTAAACTAAAGTGTTACCCATTAAAACATTAAATATGATTTTTCACTTTCATATATGATAAGTAACTTAAAATTACTAGACATTGTAGTAAAATATCATTAGAATTATAGCAAAACACACTGTATTTCACTGCACATTTGCTCATTCTTATTTGTGGTGTGTTTGATGGTAATGTCATATGTTCAATTGAATGTACTGGTAACACTTTATTTTGAGGGTCCCTTTTAGACATTTAGTTATATGTATATATAACTTATTATATTTAGCTATATTATATACAAGGGGCTTCGACACTTTCATGCAGATTCAAGAACTTTCAATGACTTTTTAAAGCACCATTAAGTTTAAATCAAGCACTTTAGCAATTCATACCCCAGCATATGTAGTGCCATGAAAGTCCTTACTGTATTTAACATTTCACTTACACTTAATATTAATGTAAAAAGGTCAGGGTCATTTAAAAAAAATTGACAGTTCTAAAAATTCTAAGTTTTACAGAACTTTAATAAAATTTGTTAAATTTAATACTGGTAATGGAGGCTCAGTGGTTAGCACTGTTGCCTCACAGCAAGAGGGTCACTTCGAGGGCCGATTGGGCCAATTTGCATTTCTGTGTGGAGTTTGCATGTTCTCTCCATGTTTGCATGGGTTTTCTTCAGCTGCTCCGGTTTGCCCCACAGTCCAAAGACATGAGGTATAGGTGAACTGGATGAACTAAACTGACCATAGTGTATGAGTGTATGTGTGTGTATGCGTTTCCCAGTACTGGATTGTGGCTGGAAGGGTATCCGCTGTGTGAAACATACAGTATGCTGGAATAATTGGTGATTCATTACATTGTGACGACCCCTAATAAATAAGGGACTAAGCCGAAGGAATGAATGAATGAATGAATACTGGTAATATTCAAATGTGGTTTTTGTAAATATTGATAAAACTGTGCCTTATTCGTCAGTTTTATTGCACATGATTTAAACTTAAGACTATTAATTGAAGAATTTCAGTTTTTTCATTCTGTTTTTGACAATTGAGTACAAGTGTTAAAATAAATCCATAAACAAATTACATTTCAAATTTAGTTCAAGCACTTTTAAGGACCTGTGTTTGTTTGAGAGTAATTCCCAGGCCTTGAATCCACATGTCTGAAGTACTTTCAAGAAGCATGGGAACCCTGTATATAGAGGTTATATTCCAGCTACATGCCAGCAACGTCTCATTAGTGTGACATTTGACTATTAGAAAAAAATGTCAACTAACCCTAATCTCAACCTAAAAGTCTACTAAAACTCTAATGAGATTTGCCATGTAGTTGCCATGTAACTTACAATCAACAAAAGGGACCATCAAAATAAAGTGATACCAATGTACCCAATGTTATGTCTGCAGATTTAATAAGAGTGGGCGACTCTTCAATGCGAATCACAGAAGCAGACTGACTGATGTAGCGGATCTGATTTAATCAAAGACTACAATTATCTGAGCTGAAAAAAAAGACTACAGATGGGATTTTTACCCTCAGCGCGTGAAGTTTGTTAACTACGAATCTGACAGCAAACATTGTGATCATTTTTTTACAGCTTAACTGGGCTGTAATTAGGGCAGAGATGTACTATGCCAGACATAGTATATTTATTTATTATGATGCGATTTGCCTTCTATGTGCGATTTGATTGGACAGGAATCACAGGACTAGACAAGAAAAAAAAAAAAAAGTAGTGACTGCAGGTTGAAGGAAAGTAATGGAGTAAAAGTATCGATACACCACTAAAAATGTACTCAAGGAAAATTAAAAGTACACATTTTTAAAACTACAAAGTAAATTACAATTTCTGAGAAAAACTACTCATTTACAGTAGTTTGAGTATTTGTAATTAGTTACTTTAAACCACTGATTAGGGGAAGAAATAAAGAAAACTTAATACATGCTTATAATGTTTGTAAATAAATAAGTGAAATAAATTAAACTTGAACCATACGCGGGGCGACGCGATGGCACAGTAGGTAGTGCTGTTGCCTCACAGCAAGAAGGTTGCTGGTTCGAGCCTCGGCTGGGTCAGTTGGCATTTCTGTGTGGAGTTTGCATGTTCTCCCTGCGTTCGCGTGGGTTTCCTCCGGGTGCTCCGGTTTCCCCCGCAAGTCCAAAGACATGCGGTATAGGTGAATTGGATTAACTAAATTGACAGTAGTGTATGTGTTTGAATGAGTGTGTAAGGTTGTTTCCTAGTGATGGGTTGCAGCTGGAAGGCCATCTGCTGCGTAATACTGTACATATGCTGGATAAGTTGGCGGTTCATTCCGCTGTGGCAACCTCAGATTAATAAAGAAACTAAGCTGAAAAGAAAATGAATGAATGAATGAATGAATGAATGAATCATACGCCAAAGCGACAGTGCTTTATGATGCACTGGTACCCTTTAACACATTTAGATGACTATTGCAACAAAGTTACATTGCAACTACATGACAACTCATTCTCTTAGGGTTAGGGTTAGAGTAAATTGATATTTCTTCTTTACGACAACGCAGTTCTGACCCACTACAAGACACTATCCACAAGGCAACAGATTCGGTTCAATCTGCAAACGTTTAACATTATTTCAGCCTTTAACTTTAATTAACTGCACTGAAATTAACTTTTTAGATAAATTAAATAGATACAGAGAGTGGGGGGAAAAAATCTCAAAACATGCAGACATTTTAGAATCTAAAAAAGAAAAAAAAAAAAAGATTCTTGCCAATCTAATTTAACACAGAAAATCAAAGTGTTAGGTAAAATTACCTGGTGGATAAACTAGGGCTACATGGTCTCCGTCTCGTAACTGTCCTCTTTCATAAAGCAAAGTGGCGATTTTCTCTGCTCTCTTGTGCAGTTGTAGACAAGTCAGAGAACTTCCTACTGCTCCCTGAAACACAACCACACACCGGAAATCACATGGATATCATGTGTTTGTGTTCATTTTCTGAAAACGATGAGGTGTGCGTGTTACCCGTGAGTTAATGAGCGTGTACAGTATGTGCTCTGGTGTTGTCTGAGCTCTCCACTGCAGCATCTCCGACAGAAAGAGAAACTACAATGCACAGAAGGAAAAAGTACAATCAGTGAAAAAAGCCAGATTTACTGTACAAATCTTCATAAGATGCAAGAAAGTTTTCTGGTTACATTTGATTTTGAGGCTCTCCTTTCTTCTGTTGACTATATGTAACTACATGCAAACCAACTCTCATTAGCGTATTATTAGTTAGGTTTGGGTTAAATAATAAAATTTAGTAAAATAGTTGCAAATTACAAATAATTAGTAAAATGTTTGATGCTTTTAGTAGAAATAAAGTAGGTGGTTGACTAATACTTTAATGTAAACTTATTTAGAGTCAGAAAAATGTGTAAAAAATGTGTGTTGACCTTTCAAATCAACTGTTTGTAGTTTGAATTTATGCTTAAACACATTTTCAATCATATTTCCGGCCAAAAAAAAATCGATTTAAAAAACGGTGCATTTGTTAATGTATTTACACTAACAAACCATGAACAATACATTAATATTAATATTTAATAATCTTATCTAACATTAGTTAATGAATATAAAGTTGTTTACTGTTAGTTAATTTTAACTCAAAGTTCATTAACTAAATGTTAAAGAGCCCCTATTGTAGATTTTTCATAAATTAACTTCCATGTAGTGTGTAACACAACACTAAGTGAAGTGAAATATCCTGCTAAGGCTTAAATATGAAAGTGGACAGTTGTTAAAACTATTGATACACCTCTAAAAGAGTCAGCTCATAGTGGTTCGAATAAATCGCCGTGGTAACGAGTCTTTAGCCATGACGGCGTGATGTCAATGCGGAAATCAAGCCCCACTCATTTGCTACACTCACAGACCCGGGAAAAATTAAAACCCCCGGCCCCGTTCACAAACACTGTAGCAGATCCCAGTTGATCTGCAAAAATACCTCAGCATTATAGCCCCAGCCTTGTGCTGTTTTCCTGTAATTTTTCTGACGAGTGCTTCAGGAATCTACATGTTTACAATGGGGGATTCGTTGGCTGTTTGCTAAAGGAAGGAGCAGAAAAGACTATTGACATATGGAACTTTGTCAGAGCTTGACATGAACTTTACAGTACACAGTGGATCAGTTTCTTCCTCCATTTCACAAGTGTAAATGCGATTAAAATGGTTGCCTCATTGTCTTAGCTTGCTTGCAAAATATGTATTTGATTGTGTTTAGTTACCTGTAACCCCACCACGTGGCTTGTAAGTCTGGCTACTCTTTGTATTCTAAGATTGCTTCTAAAACCACACTGAAAACGTGATGTGCTGCTTTGTTTAAGGATTTAATTGCTTTTTCTGAGCTCGCGATCCTCTGCCGTTTGTCATTACAATGGCCACTGTCAGCTGTTCCTACACACATGCAGCCGGTCAAGTTTCAAAATAGTTCAGCTTTTGTCGCTGTGTGGATAAATACCGAATGTGTGTCATGGGCAAGAACAGAGTAATACGCTGGTGTTTAGCTGCATTGCTTTATTGCACTACAACATTGGGCTCACACATACACTATGCACTCTGACTACTTGTTGATAAGCGTGCTGGGCATTTCTCTCCATCCTGTCATCGGACCTATCAGCACTGATTAGCATCGCGCTAAGGAGGGGTTTGGGAACAAATGAATTGCTGAAAGAATTACAGTATATGGGAGTTGTTGGGATAATTAGGTAAAAATGAATACATATTATAAGAAAATGAAAGTGTTTTTTGACCTTGCATGCATATCAGACTGTTGTTGGAGACCCCCAAAACCCAAACATGACCTTCTTAAATGCATAATAGGGGCTCTTTAACAAGCGCAATTTTGGATTTTTATATGAAGTTTTTTTTTAAGTTTTACATACATAAGCTAAGATAAATTAATGGACAATTATTTTAATGTGGCATCAAAACTCTTATCAATGTTTGATAAACTCTTAATTATAAGTTTTATAATTACAAAAACATTTGAATATACTTATTATTATCATCACATCATTAATAGTTAAGTATAAAAGCACTTTTTATTATTATTATAATTTTCATTATTTTATTATGTTTAATAATTTCTTTATAAAATACTACTTAAATGTGGAAAAAAATTAATTAACTGGGCGATGATGATTTTGTAACAGTATGACTTTACACTTGATCTGAGACACTGTAAACAATACAGAAATGTTTGCTCGCCTCTATATTTTTCTTTCATATTAACATTATTATATTTTTCCCAATAATCATATCCTATGTGATCCAAAAGGCCTATAGACACACAAACTTTACCTGCTCATTGTCCTCCATGTGACTCAAATCTCGTCCGCTGGCCTGAGCCATTCGTTTCCCCGCAACAAGATTCCCCACCATCACTGAGGCAGGACCCACCTCTGCAACAAACACAGTACTTTCACACAATGCCTTCTCTTTAACACAAACACATGGTGCTCGATGGTGTAGAGAGTGGTGTACCAGGCTGTTTCTGTCTGGGTTTGGGCAGGTTGGTGATGCAGGAGTGAGGACACATGAGGATGCTGCAGGGGTGAAGACCCCCCTCCAGGAACAGCTGCTTTGTCTCAGACAGGTGGATTCCTCCCAAAGGGGTTTTGGGAAGAGTGTTAGCAGGAACCAGTGCCAGACAGTAGACCCCAACCTGATGAATTCCATCTATAGCCTGAAAATACAGAGAGAGAAGTCATTACTATCAATTCTGTGCACACTTAATAACCATAATTATATTAAAAAAAAAAAAATGCAAGAGTTTTAAGTTAGATTTTTTTTTATTGGGTTTTGGTTGTCTTTCATTCCACAAGGCTGCATGCGTTCAATACAATAAATTTAGTAATGGTGTGAAATGTTATTATGTTATATTTTATTATATATTATATTTTAATGTATTGCATTGGTTCCCATTCTAAAACAAATGTCAAATTACCTGATTTTCCTGACTTTCAATGACTAAAAAGTTGTACTTTAGGGATTCTGTGATGGCTGAATTTAACCTAAATTTAGGGAAGCTTGCAAAAAAATATATAATAAAAAATTATATTTTTGTTTTTTCTTTTAAATTTCATTAAATTAGTGGAGATATCCTTTGGCAAGCAAGGACAGTTCAAATTCTTTCTGCGTCATTTGCACTGCATATTAAAAAACATAATATTTGCATATAGACCATTTCAATGTGGTCATGCCATTGGCTCATGAACATTTAGTGCTTGTTATCAAACTATTTCATAACTGTAACGAGATAACTTCATGTTAAAACAGCTATAATTACATTATTTATCGATATGTGGCTCTTTTTAGTTTCTTGGAAGTTATAGAAAATAAAAATGTAAAACAGGAAATACATTAGGGACCACTGTTTTTGTTTACATCCCTCAAAATGGTCTATAGAAAGTGTTCATCCAGTGTGTGATACCTTTGTCTTAGACACAGTACAGCACAGTGTGACTCGCTTCAGACATGACATGTGACATACTTGCAATGCAAATTCGGCATTTAAATGAGAGGTTGATAAATTTCAACTGCCAAACAAAAATCACTGATATTCCATAACTTGAACAAGAAAATATCAAATTCCCGGATTTTTAATATCTGGAATAGACTTTTTAAAATTCTGTGATATTTTAGCTCATCCATAACCTGTGGGAACCCTGTGTATGGTACAATGTAATTTATTCATGTAATTGTAATCAATAAATAAATCAATCCGTCAATCAGTCAATCTGTAAGTCAGTCAGTCTATAAGTCAGTCAGTCAATCTGTAAGTCTGTGAGTCAGTCAGTCAGTCAGTCTGTAAGTCAGTCAGTCAATCTGTAAGTCAGTCAGTCAGTTTGTAAATCTGTAAGTCAGTCAGTTTGTAAATCTGTAAGTCAGTCAGTCAGTCTGTAAATCTGTAAGTCAGTCAGTCAGTCTGTAAGTCAGTCAGTCAGTCTGTAAGTCAGTAAGTCAGTCAGTCAGTCTGTAAGTCAGTCAGTCAGTCTGTAAGTTAGTCAGTCAGTCTGTAAATCTGTAAGTTAGTCAGTCAGTCAGTCAGTCTGTAAGTCAGTCAGTCAGTCAGTCAGTCACTCAGTCAGTCAGTCAGTCAGTCAGTCAGTCAGTCAGTCCGTCCATCTATCCATCCATCCATCCATCCATCCATCCATCTACTTGGTTTTTTTCTCCTCCTACGGCACAGGTGTCAAACTCAGTTCCTGGAGGGCCGAAGCTTGGCACACTTTATTTCCAACCCTAATTCCTTCAGTTTTGTATTAAACCTACAGATAATGCCGCAGTCACACTAGAGTTTGAGCTTGTGAAATTCTGTCCTACAGCGAAAAGGACCGGGATTAAACAAGATGATTAGACATTTTAAAAAGTGAGCAATTGGTCCATATTAAAAATTTCTGTCCAGAGAGGTCATGTCTTTATCCTCAGTTGGTCTCACGCAGTCACGTGGTATGATTTCGCAGGCCAGAGTTCACCAAGCTTAGACTTGGCAATGCAGTGAACTGCAAAACTTTAGCTACGTCTCATTTCAGAGGCTGCATCCTCCGAAAGATGCATTCGAAGTGCGCTGCGTCGTCTCATTTAATTCTTTAGAAGATTCTTTGCGCGCTGATAACGGCAGAACCTTTTTTAAAAGAAAAATCTGGTTTAAATGTATGAATTAAGTTTATTTTAAGTGGATATGTAAATATGTTTAAAAAACTGGTGACGAGATCTGTCCTCTGTAGGCTAGATCGTCTCATTTCAAAATGCTTAGTTCGGCCTGTGTGGACTTACCTTTAAAGTGTGCATCCTTAGGAGGATGCAGCCTCTGAAATGAGACACAGCTTTGGTCTTACGCATTTGCGTATGTATGAATTAAAGTCTATAGGGAGAAAAGTCCAATGTAACCATGGCATTATTGTGTTGAAGCAGGGGGCACCATGGCTAACTTTACCTTTGAGTCTAGTTAAGGGTGTGTGTGTGTGTGTGTGTGTGTGTGTGTGTGTTTACCTGCAGCACTCGGCTCATCCACTGATAACTCTCTTCTTCAGTGGAATCTGGTCTCTGTTCTGCCACCAGCACGATCCTCTCATCATACAGTACAGTCACTGAAAACACCACCGTCCTGCACACAAATTATTCAGATAAATTATACAGCAAGTTTAATTACAATGCTTTCTCTCTGGCTCCCTTCCTCCCCCCACCCTCCCTCCCTCTGTGTCAATTCTCAGGATCGCCCACTTCAGTATTCCATTCGTCAGTGAAGACGTCAATCTCCATTAAACCGTGTGACGTCATCACCTTTGCTGCCAATTAGGATGGGAGAAAACCCCCATGAAAACCCCCTCATTTAGTTCAAGTCTACCTCAGAATGTTTTCAGAAAATGCTTCATGATGGGCGTGAAACGCTGCGAGCAGAGGAGGGGTGCCCGCCCCAATAACGATTTTAAACCCGGAAGATAAATTAGCTGACAAAAGCTCTAAATTACCTAGTTTTCCTCACAATTAAAGCTGACAGCAGCTAACATTGTCTTAATTGATGCTTAGCACACACAAATCTGTTAAAATCTCAAAAAAGTACTCCAGGGTGTCTTGAACCTTTAAAGCACCAAAAAAAGTGACGTTTTTTTGTCTCTGACCCACTCACCTTCCTCTGTAGATGAACTTCATGGGCTCCACAGCCAGAGCGGTAGCAATGATGTCATCAGCGTTGTGTTTCCGTCCGCCGACCTGCATCAGTCCCTCAAGTGTCCCAGAGATGAAGATCATCCTGCCTGGACCCACAAACCCCAGCAGACCCGACCGCACGAACACACAGTCACTGACCAATCCACCGTCACACGCCACTGGACAAACCTGCACCACACAAACACACACACATTTACTGACAGGAAACTCACACTGAAACACATACAGTACAGTATAGTAAAGTATAAATTCAGCATTATAGTATCTGTATATTGTGAATTATTTCTGTATATTGTGAGTTTTTTTTTACCATCTTGTCCTACTATACAGAGACCAGCTGATGTAATGAACCAACTAGACCAGCTTCAGCCTGATCATTTCTATAAATAATCCATTCTGATTAGCTAAATTATACAAGTAATTTAGGATGAATTAAACAGACAAATAAATAAATCCAGAAACCACTTATACACTGTAAAAAACGCAGGGTTCCACACAATTCATTCATGTTGTCCCAACACAAATTAAGTTATCTTAACACTTCTAAGAAATGTATGTACATTGAACATCATTGTCCCAATGAAATATCAAGGATTGTGTTGTTTCGGCTTACTTTAAATAACTAACATACAAAAATATATATTTTTTTGAGTGTATAGTAAATAGCATTTTTTATTTTTCCATGGTAAAATTAAGATTTAAAATGTTTCTTCACAAATCTAAAATTTTAAATCTTAATTTTACCATGGAAAAATAAAAAGGCTCTTTACTAAACATACTTTATAATCTAAACAATTAAAAAAAAAACTTTAGAGGAGACTAAATGACATCTAAATTGGCTGCTAAATATATGTACACCATCAGAAATGGTCAATCAACTCATTTCCCTTATTTAAATAATCTACAATTTTTATTCTAAATATTAATGAATTATTATTAAATATTAAACATTTTAGAGATGTTGTGTTTTTATGAAATTTTCCTTTAATTTATTTCTCATATATGTTACTAATTTGATGATGTTGATATACAGTATTACATATTTCATATATATCTAAAATGCTTTGGCAATACTATACTAAATGTCATGCCAATGAGAGAAAGAGCAGCTGTGTACAGATGGCTCCTAAATAGCATAAAAAAAGAGAAATAATAATTTATTTTTATTTTAATCGCCTTTTTTAAAACTTTAAACCATTCAAAGGACTTAGTGTATAACAGTGTCTTAATAAATAAAAATATTGCTAAAAATCACATTATTTTTGTTACATGTACTTAACCATTTATGTGCCTTGGGTACCGGATGTGTTTCAATATAGCTACCACTGCAAGTATATTTCAAACCTGTAAAAAACACTGTGTATATATATATTTTATAATATCATGTTTTTTAAAAAGATATATAAAAATGATAATAAAAAATACAAATAAAAGAAAAATTCTAATCTGTATATATACACACACGCACGCACACGCTCACACACACACGCACGCACGCACGCACGCACGCACACACTTATTTCTTCCCCAATTTTTTTTTAACAGAGAGATTTTTTCAACACATTAATTAATTAAAACATTTCTAAACGTAATGGTTTTATTAACTCATTTCTAATAACTGATTTATTTTATCTTTGTCATGATGACAGTAAAGAATATTTTACTAGATATTTGTTAAGACACTTCTATACAGCTTAAAGTGACATTTAAAGGTTTAACTAGGTTAATTAGGTTAACTAAGCAGGTTAGAGTAATTAGGCAAGTTATTGTATAATGATGTTTTTTTTTGTAGATTATCGAACAAATATAACTTAAAGGGGCTAATAATTTTTACCTTAAAATGGTTAAGAAAATTAAAAACTGCTTTCATTCTAGCCGAAATAAAACAAGCAAGACTTTCTCCAGAAGAAAAAATATTATCACACATACTGTGAAAATTTCCTTGCTCTGTTAAATTGTCATCTCCTTCAGTTCTGATCTTTTAGAATTCACTTCAACATGCTGATCTCATTCTCTAAATCATTGTTATATTACCATATCTTTACAGTTTTTTTCAGCATTCTATGAATATAGCAAAGTTAATGTCTAATATGTCCTTTCTGATTGACTGACTCCAAACATTTGAAGCATAATCTTAACACAGTGACAAGTTTACATTCAGTGCAAAGTGCGTTTTCACACCTCAAATGTGTTTTTGCTCATTCCGGTTAGCCCATAATAGGACGTGCCCGTTGCAACAGCCGACACGCAGATCTCTCCTATCTCATCAGCTTTACACAGTTGAGGAACGCCCTCCACTTTAACGACACACACCACCGCTGAAAGACACCAAGAAAAGTCAGTTTTACAAGAGCCATAAAGCCGTTTGATGAATTCTGCGGTCGCATGAGGAAAACAGGCTGCTTTATAAGGGACACATTGGAACGGAATCAAAATGCATTGACGTTCTGGTAGTTTCTGTACCTCCTGGCATGGCTGTGCCCACGTCCTGCAGGGTGAGGACGGACAGCTTCTCTCCTGTGTCCACCCGAATCACCCCGTGGCTCAGGTTGGTCATACTCAGGACCCCTCGGCCTGCAGGCTTTAAGCTGCTCTCCTGAGGCCTGACGAAGAAGAAACACATGCATACAAACAGATGAAGGAATAAACATGTCCATATGTGGTGCTGGAACATTGTGTTACCATAGACACGATATTTTTTCATACAAACAATATGGAATTGTGTGGTTTGGCTCCACAAGCCCTGACAAAACGAGACTGCTGGGTTTGATTGGTTGGATTAGATGTATTCTCACGGTCTTAAAAGTAAGAAATAAAAGTTTAGCCAAAGTAAATAAAAGATTAGCCAGGTTGTTACGACTGAAGTTTATTTATTTTTTTATTATTATTGCGGATTGTACTCCTTTTTCTTTTGTCCCGCCTCCTTGCTGTTTTTCTGCTGTCTTATAGGCTCCCACACCGGAATGATTCCCTGCTCTGATTGGCTGCTGTTCTACGAGGCCTGTATAAAAGGGAGCTTCCGGCAGGAATCGGAGAGCTCATTTCTGCTGCGTTCGGTGTTTGGAGTGGAGCTCCTGGGTTTCCCTCACCCCTTCGGCCGACGACCAACAATAATCACCTTTGTATTGATGACCATCCTATGCTTGAATATTTATTGAGAGTTTGTGCGTGTAGGGGTGACCTGCCTATTTATTTGATTACTTTTGACTTTGTTTATAATAGGGAGTCAGGTAAGATTCTTGTATGTTTCTTTAAATAGTAATAGGTAATTTAGTGGATTTATTTTATAGATTCTTTTGTTTGTTATTTTGGCCTGTGGTCACCCTGACGAAATGCTCAATTATATATAAACCCTATTTTTCTATAATAAATATCTTCATATATACTCTCAATTGAGTGTGTGAGTTTGGTTGGAAATCCACCACCCCAACACATTTGTTTGTTCTTCGTTTATTATGCCCTTTTTGTTTCCCCTAGACTTGGGGTGTAATACAGGTATTTTCATTGTGTGATGTCTACCACCACTTTTGAAATTTGCATAAATACCCCTGAATGTGTTAAAATATCTCATGAAATTCATATTATTTTGTTTATTTTTAAATTTATATTTATCTTTTATATAATGTTTTAGTATGTTTATGCTTAATAAAAGTTCAATTTGAAAACCTTTAAACAAAGGTGTAAAAGAGATGCAAAAATTCTGTTCTTTTAAACCGTCTGCTCACCAAAACATCCTAAAAAAACACATCATAGTTTCACAAAAGCATTAAGCAGCACATCTTTTTTAACATTAACAATAATGATCTTAAATGTTTCTTGAGGCACTAAATCAGCATAACAAATTGATTTCTGAAAGATCAAGTAACACTGAATATTATTAACATCAGCGTCTATTTAGATTTTAAAATATCATTTAAATTATAAATAGACATTGATATTAATCATATTAACACATTAAAGTGTATATTGAACATTTGGATTGATATTTCCCTAAATATTTATTTGGTGCTGCAAGAAATAGATCTTATAATTACTACACTCACCGGCCACTTTATTAGATACACCTTACTAGTACTGGGTCGGACCCGCTTTTGCCTTCAGAAATGCCTTAATCCTTCGTGACATAGATTCAACAAGGTACTACAAATATTCCTCAGAGACTTTGGTCCATATTGACGTGATAGCATCGCACAGTTGTGGCAGATTTCTCAGCTGCACATCCATGATGCGGATCTCCCATTCCACCACATCCCAAAGGTGATTTATTGGACTGTTGAAACCATTTCAGTACAGTGAACTCTCTGTAATTTTCAAGAAACCAGTCTGAGATGATTCGTGCTTTATGACATGGTGCGTTATTCTGCTGGAAGTAGCCATCAGAAGATGGGTACACTGTGGTCATTAAGGGATGAACATGGTTAGCAACAATACTCAGGTAGGCTGTGGTGTTGACACTATGCACAATTGATACTATTGGGCCCAAAGTGTTCCAAGAAAATATCCCTCATATCATTACCACCACCTCCAGCCAGAACAGTTGATACAAGTCAGGGTGGACTCATGCTTTTTATGTTGTTATTGTCAAATTCTGACCCTGCCATCCGAATGTCGAAGCAGAAATCGAGACTCATCAGAACAGGCAAAATTTTTCCAATCTTCTGTTGTCCAGTTTTGGTGAGCCTGTGTAAATTGTAGCCTCAGTTTCCTGTTCTTAGCTGACAGGAGTGGCACTTGGTGTGGTCTTCTGCTGCTGTAGCCCATCCGCCTCAAGGTTTGACATGTTGTGCGTTCAGAGATGCTCTTCTGCATACCTGGATTGTAACGATTGTAGTTACTTGAGTCATTGTTGCTTTTCCATCAGCTCAAACCAGTAGCCATTCTCCTCTGACCTCAGGCATTAACAAAGCATTTGCACCCACAGAACTGCCGCTCACTGGACATTTTCTTTTTTTCAGACCATTCTCTGGAAACGCTAGAGATGATTGTGCGTGAAAATCCCAGTAGATCAGCAGTTTCTGAAATACTCAGACCAGCCCCTCTAACACCAACAACCATGCCACGCTCTAAGTCACTTAAATCACCCTTCTCTTTCTGATGCTCGGTTTTAAACGCATTGAGTTGCTACCATGTGAGAAAATTTTTACATTAGAAATTTGCGTTAACAAGCAGTTAGACAGGTGTACCTAATAAAGTGGCCGGTGAGGGTATCATTAAACAGTAAAAACTTCAATGTAAATGTATGAAACAGCATTTTACTTGAAAAGATAATTTTAGTCTAATTAACTTTTTTCAACTGCTATTTTGATCAACTTAATGTGCTAATTAAAATTACAAAATTTCTCAAAATTAATAAAAACCTTCAGACCTCCATAGACAGAACTATAAAGATGCATCATAAATAGGCATAATTTGTTTACTCACAGCATTAATCAATTTTCCAAAGCCATTCTAATGCAAACCACACAAAAACAGTAAAATAATAATAATAAATTGGGTCTATTCAGGTTGGTTGACTTAATGAAACTTTTTACATTTTTCAAATCAAATTATTCCACAATGCTATAGCGCACCGTTTTCAGGAAAAACTAGATATGATAAAGACGGTCTTGCAAAAAATATCCAACAGTACAGTACAATAACACTTGCTGTATTTGACTTAGGATTTTGCCTAGTATCTGATTTCACATTTACCAACCTCTAAATGGCACATATTAAAGTTAACACTAGTTGATAACTTCAAACATCAGTAAAGCAATTCTTGGCGATATAACCCAGACTTCATGGCGATATGGAAAAGTCTGGCAACCCTAAAGTAATATCCATCTGCTGGTACGATAACACGATTTAAACTCAGACCACACACAAATACAATTAAATGCATTTTAATGATTGATTAAGAAGCAGGAGTTAAGATGACGTTAAAAACTAAGTCAGATGTCTCTCTTAATAGATCTGCGTGTATGAATGTGCGCGGGCCTGGTTATATTGTTTGTAATGTGCGACCACAAGACAGAACCTCCCATTTTGATGAGTTTAAACTGAAAACAGATTCCTCAGCACAAGTAAGTCTCCTGGGCAAATAAGAGTGCGAGTGTGTGTTTATACCTCCTCAGAGCGACAGTTAGAGCCTCGGGGGAACCAGCACATGGGCATATGACCTCTGACCTCAAGCCCATGTTCTGAAACACGTTCAGGAACGCGTCGCAGGAGGATATCGACCCTGGGACAGAAAGATAGACAAAGTTTACTGTATATGAGCAATTCCAGCGTTATGGATATGACATTTGCACTAAAATCTCAAAACATAAAATCAAATAGAAAGTATATGTTAATGTTATATTGAAACATCTGTTTACATTTTCCAAAACAACTGACCACAGAGTTACGGAATCAGAAAAATATCAATCTGTAAACATGTTTTGTACTTTACATGAGGAAAATAAACATACGTTACGAATGTGACAAAAAAGTAATCAAGTTTGCAGTAACATACTTTGTAGAAATTCTGTAAATTAAACTGCACAACTCAAAAGAAATAATGATAATCAAAAGAATAAAATATGTCTCTCTATAGAACAAAAATGAATGATGTTATTTTATTTAATATTTTTGCATCTATGAGGAAAAAGTATCGTTATGGATGTGCCGTCTCTTCGTAATGGATACAACCGATGTGAAATTGCCACTTGTGTGACTTTGGTAAATCAAATATAATAGTTTAGAAACACTGACAGAGACATTTTTTAGTATTTCTAAAGTGCTTTAAAACACTTGCTTACACAAAAACTTAGAAATGGTTTCCGTATTTTGGTAAAAAATGTCATTTATTCATGGAAAGGTTGACATTTGAATGGAATTTCTCATATACTTTAAGTGAATTTACAAAAAATTACACACTTTAGGTGGTTTGGTATAGTGTTGTCATGATACTGGTGTTTTTTTCACTTCGATACACTCAAAAAAATGAAATTTGCTGTTTGTTCAAACTACTTATTTAAATCGAGCTGAAACAACACAATTCTTGAGGTTCTCTGGAGGACTACATAATTGATTTGTAATTTAATAAGGTTATGTGTACTTCGATTTGTAAAAACTAATAAGTTAAATTAATTACTTGATGTTGTCCCAACACAAATCAATTGTGTGGAACCCAACATTTTTTACAGTGTATGACACTTTAAAAATACTGATACTCAATGCCTTTTTTTGACACCACTAGGAAAAAAATCACAACAGTATTCATTAAATGTACAATATTGCTGTATTTCTGGAATAACGTTCTATTTTTCACTGTTAAAATCTCAATCATGGCACAATTCAAAGAACTGTTACTACAGGTGCGTTTATGCCAGTTGTTCAGATTTTCATTGACCAGCCTACGCTTTTACTTGTCCAGCTAAACAAATATTCATTGTTATAATATGATAATATAATATTTAAATTTTTATTGTATAGACATAAAGAAGTATAAATGATGATTCAGATGGCATTTTGCATTCTAATAAATGCATAATAAATTATTTATTTTATTAGAGAAGAAAGCATAAGCACAACTTAAAGATAAAAAATTAATTGAAGACAAGCAAACAGAAATTAATTATAAAAAAAAAACTAAATACAACCAAATACCACAAATAAATACAACGGAACAATATAAAACTGTGCTTAAAGCTATAGTTAGCCTTTTCCAATACGATTTACTCTGTCAGGTTTCAAATCTTTAAAAGTTTCCTTTAATGTTGAACACAAAAGAAGATATTTTGAAAAATGTTAAAAAACTGTAACCACTGATTTTCAAAATAGGAAAAAAATACTATGGAGGTCAATGGTTACAGGTTTGCAACATTTCTCAAAATGTCTTCTTTTGTGTTTAACAGTTTGTCACAAGTGAATTTTCAGTTTTGGCTCAACTATCCTTTTACCATTGTTTAGGTAAGTCTAACAGTGATTTGTTTTTTTGGCAACACTCTTTCGATAGGTCATGGACATACTCACAGGGGTTCGACCCATCAGCGATGAGCAGCATTCTCAATGAGCTCATGTTGGTGTCCGGCTGCTCTTTGTGGGCCATCAGAGCCCAGTGTAGATCCCTGCTCTTCACACACGCCACTTTAGCTGAATACACAAAGGAAAATGAGACTAATTATTAACCAGAATAGTTATACTGCATCTGACACTATAGGGCTTTTCACACACGCTGGGTCATTCTAAACCCTGGGTAAAAGAAATTCCTGGGTTATTTGATTCAACATGTGTTACACTGCTCATTAATTAACATGTAGTTAATAGTTCAATTTACGCTGACAATTCTCACTGTACAATCCTAAACCTTGGGCAAATTCACAATGATAATGCGATTGACAGGACAAACACAGAATGTGATCTGCATATTATAATCAGCACATGTCCTATAAATACTGCTATCAGGTTTTTAATGAATGGACAACAAGAGTAAAAACTAAACAGTCCCTTTAAACTTCAACTTGACATGTTTTTCATCACTTATTGACATTTTCCCCCTCAAACAAGGTTTAAACCTTTTTTGCAAACATTATTTTATACATTCAAAATCGTTAATGATAAAATTACATCAAAACTAAGGCTACCTTCCGCATTTGTCTAAACCAGTCTATAGTCTGAATAAAAACGGCAGACAATCTGACTGAAAATGTAAACAGAAATCTGACAGTAGCTATTGAGAACTAAAAGAGCCGTTTCACCAGTAACCTCTGTACAAAACATTACTTTATTAGGCAGTAGACTTGACATTTTTTAAATTGTGGGAGGGGAAAAAAAAAAAAAATCAAGGTAACAATTTATTTTATAGGTCCATTTGAGTATTAGTAGACTGTCTGCTTAATATCTGTTAATACTGCTGCTAAACAGACATTTAACTGATTATAAGAAACTTTGCAAGTACATGTCAACTTACACTAACCCTAACCCCAACCTAACAGTCCTATATACATATAATCTAACGAGAATTTGTTGGCATGTAGATGCAATGTAACTTAAATTCAACAAACAGACCAACAAAAGTGTGACCAAAATCAAAATTATTTAAAGGAAAAAACTAAAAATTGTTCTATTGTGTTTATGTTTAGGGGTAGTTCAGTTGCTGTAAAATATTTGCATATCAATGTAACTTCACCAAACCTCCTAATAGCTGCAACACGAGGACTTTCATGACAATTTGTGAGCATCAAAAGCTCTGTATCAAATTATTTGACAGTCTGTCACTGCATCTCAAACAACTCAAAATAATACAAAACAATATAACTAAATCAATTTCTGCTGCTCTGAGCGAGAGCGCTTCTATTCCTGTTAAACAGAACAGTCGCAAAATCGATGATGAAAGCATGCTCCAGCTCAGAAGGAAAAAACACAGTGTGAGAGCAGGCTCTCCGGGGGAGGAGGGATCAGGCACAATCACACCCCGGCACAGTTCAAGTCAACCGAGCCTAGTGTGAGTAAACCCTGCGTATAGCAAGGAAATCTGTATAAACCGGAGTATGTTTGAGTACCTTTGTACTGGCAGACTTTTTGGATCCAGGACAGAGGATTCACCTTCATAAGTGCATAGGGAACACTGACCACATGTAACATATTCAATACACTCTGCAGAGAGAGAGAGAGAAAAAAAAAAAGAGAATTCACTTTTTCAAAAACAAAAATAAAAACCAGTGTAAACAAGCTGTAATCTGCCAAATGATTATTTAAAGTGAGTCAGTGATTTTACCGTTTGAACACTGTGCCAAAGGCCAATGCCTTTTTTAAAGTCCAACACGTTCACCACAGTCTCAGCTGAAACAAACACAAACGAACCATTTAGAAATGAAAAAAAAAAAAGTTATACAGGTTTTGCAAGGACAATTTAATTGAGTGTGTGTAATTATATTTTTCTGTGTCTTACCTTCACTGTATCCACAGGTGTGTGTAAGAGTTTGGCAGTGTGAGAGCATCGCCATCCTTGTCACGGTTATCCCCATCACACTGCCATCCTTACAGGTCTTATACTGTAAATCAACAACACAAACACAAAATGTAAATGTGATGATATTGTATTGGCAGTGAATTACAAACAGATGCTCTCGCATATCAAGCAATATAATATATTTAAATTGCATAATGCATTATTAATTCATTACTGTTTAAAAGACTGAAGTCTGTGAGGCTTTTTTTTTGGTTTTGGATGAAATCATATTCTCTGTCGAGGGTGCAATTGTTTAATGAAGTAAAAAAAATACACACTGTAAGGTGTGTGTTTATACCTCCTCAATCAAAACCTTTTGAGGAAACCGATTAAAACAAACCATTTAAGTAAAAATCTAACCTATATGAGTACTGTGAACTTACTCCATTTAAGTCGAAGTAGTGAGGTATTTCATTAACTCATTACCTTCAACACTGAGTTCAAAACTCTTTTCAAATGAGTAGAATTAACTTGCAGTAAATTTTGACTTAACTACACTCATTTCATTTAATCAAGTTGACTGTTGGGTTTTACAGTGTAGTAAAAAAAAAATTAAAAAAATTTTTTTACAATTTGAAACAACATTTTTCTAGTTTAATTTATTTAAAAATTATTTTTTTCCTGCGATAATAAAGCCGTTTTTACCCATTTGTTTCAAGTGGCCTGTGATCATATTCTATGCTGATTTGATGCTCTTATTGTAAATTATGTAAACATATGATATATGTACTATATGTTTATGATTTAAATGATTTTTTTTCATGATGAACACAAATATTAACTTAAAAAAACAATAAAAAAAAACAATATATCATATTACTAACCTCAAACTTTTTAATGAAAGTACATTATTTTAAAAATATGATCATATTGTGATACATGATCATATATTCAATACACATAAACAAAAAAAGACATGAATTTGAGGTGAAATGGCAGTGTGTTTTACCTCTATGTATGCGGTGTCATTGTTGGCATCTTTAATTAGAGGAAACCACTCCCGAGGGGGTTTAGATAAATGTTTAGAGTCAGTCAGCACCCAGAGCAACTTTGGCCAACCTAAACAAACAAACACACACAGAGAACAAGAGCATGCAAATTAGTAACAATGTAAACATATACACTGTATAAAATATGCACGTTTCTCTATCATGTGCAGGTGATTTCAACAAACATGACGATGTGTCTGACCTTTAAACTGCATGACGTCACCACTAGCACTCTTAGGAAGACCTTTATGACACGCATCGCTGGCTAACGCCACAGTTACACCACAGCTACCCAACAGAAACCCAATCTGTTGACTCCCAGCATCCTATAGAGGAGAGAGCAGAAAGACACACCTCAGCCAAGTGTTTGTAAAAGAAAAATAATAATTTTGTTGAAATATTTCCTTCAATAACTATTAGATCTTAGGTGCATCCCAAATCGCATACTTATGCACTTTTCCACGCCATTTTGTAGTATAAATAGTGCGTTTACGCTGAAAACTCTAATAATAATAAGTTCATTTTAATTACCCGTATGATGCACTCATTCAGCCGGTAAAATGAAGAGTGGAATGATGGACATTTTATGCCCTCAATGACAGCAGTTTTGCTAATGTAGCAGAAGGGGCAGAGCTATCGGACGTACATGTTGGATAACTTCAATTATTTTGGATTGTGAAAGCACCTCCTGGTGGTAAATGCGGTCATACTCATGGCAGGTATTATTTGGTACTTTGGTCATTTATTTCACTAATTTGGCAACCGTCAAATGCCATCTGGGAAACGGTTTGGATTTCCACTTAGTAAAAAAACATTAGTGTTCCATTTGGGACGATACTACATTCATATATGATGTTGTTGAGTGTGTAAGTGCATAAGTAAATAGTGTGGGACGCAGCTCTTGTGAATATTTCAAAAAGACTCTGCTGTAGAAGTTACCTTCTTTGTAAGTGGTACTTCAATTGGAACAGGAACAACTTCAGCCAAAAGGCAGCCATAAAACGCCACCATGAACGCTGCTGGGTCACTATTAGGATAAACCAATGCTACCTGCAGAAACACACACACACAGTCTTTATTCTTCACCAGTTCTTGAATACATATCTGTATAATGCTGTGTCTTTATACTGGAGTTGTTTAGAACAGTTCAAACATTCAAAAAAATTAGTATGATATTGTTTTGTGGTTTGTACAACATCTTATGCTTACTGAGGCTGCATTTCCTTGATGAAAGATTGTAAAAACAGTAACAATGCATTTTTTTATTATTATGATTTGTTAATAACCATTTTCTATTTTAAAATGTTTTTAAAAAGGTGAAACTACAATGAGGTTGTATTAGTTCATGTTAGTTAATGCATTTACTAACACAAACAAACAATGGACATAACATTTATTACAGTAATTATTAAAATTTGTTAATGTAAATTCATGGAAATAATGTTATTCATTGTCAGTTCTTGTTAGTATAGATAGTATAGTTAGTATACAGTGAATCAACTAATGTTAACAAGCATGAATGTAGATTTCAATACTGCATAAGTAAATGTTGTTCATGTATTGTTCATTATTAGTTTCTGTTAGTAAATAAATTAAACCTTATTGTAAAGGTTGACCTTAAATATAGTTTATTCCTATAAAGACAAAGCTGAATTTTCAGCATCATTACTCCAGCCTTCAGTGTCACAGGATGCGTCAGAAATCCCTCTAGCCTGGTGCTCAAGAAAGATTTCTAAAAATCATTATTGTTAAATAAATTTGCTGTTTAATACGAAAAAAATTTTTTTTCAAGATTGTTAGGTAAATATAAAATTCAAAAGAAAAAATATTAAACAATATACAACAAAAAAATGTTTTCTTAAAATTATAAATATATTTACTGCTGTTTTTAAGCCTCTTAATGCTTCCTTTAAAAGCCAATTATTTATTTATAAAATAATTTTAATACATTTAAAAAAATAATAATTTTTCACCTTTAGAAGGGAAGTGGAGAGTGAAGACAGGAAAGTATTGGGAGCAGAAAGAGGTACACATGTACCTCGAACCAGAAATTGAACTTGGGTCATCGTAAACGTCATGTGTTGACGAACTAACAACTAGACAATTGGTGCTGACAAAAGCCAATCATACTGTACATTTTAAAACAACATATAACACTATACAATACAACCACTCACCCGGTCTCCAGGATGGATAATTGGCTCTTGTTTGGATCCCAGTTTATGGAGGAGGTTATAGGCCAACTTCAAACTCCTGGACCAAAGCTTACCTACAAACAATCACATATTAAAATCCACACATAACCAATATTATAAGATCAAGTTGCTGTCTATGAATGTGTGTACCATATGTAAGTGTGTACGGTTGTTTGGCATTGCTGTGTGTAGTGGTCAGGCAGGGGGCTTTGGGTGCAATGGCTCCCCAGCGCAGGAGAGCCGCTTCCAGGGAGGCGGGGCAATTTTTCAGTCTGTCCAACTCCTCTCCTTCTATGGGGATTGACTCCGCCCCTTCTGGGCGTGGCAGAGACGGATCAGGCTGCTGCACTGCAAACGGGAACATTAAAGAGAAGAATTTACAGACACATTTTAATGCACTTTTTCCTTTAAGAGTGATTTGCATAGCTCTTTAGTCTTATTTAGAACATGTAAAAGATAAAAATGCATAAAAAATACACTCAATTATATATATATATATATACAAAAAATGAGCTGAAACAACACAGTTTTTATGGAGGGACAACTTAATTATTTTAAATCCACTTAAATTTGTAAATACTAATAACTAATTACTTTTCTGTATTGCTGAAGGACTAATTTCATATATCTGTTTACTTAATATATCTGAAATATTAAAAAGTTTAGTGATGAACAAAAAATAAGGTCAAGAATCTTGGTGTGACTCTGGAGTCTGGAGTGTGCTACGTCCAACAGATTGCACTACTATGTTTTTCTTTTTCATTCTTTTATAACCTTTTTTAACTCATTTAAATCTGTTTTTATCTGTTTTTAATAATTTTATTGTTTGTTTTTTATGTTTTTAAACTTGTCTTTTTTATTCTTGTTTATGTAAAGCACTTTGAATTGCCACTGTGTATGAAATGTGCTATATGAATAAACACCTTGCCTTGCGTGATGCAATTTTTTTTGCAATACTTAAGCATCTATAACTTTTTTCGTTTTAAGCATTACAAACTCTGACGATGGATAGAAATGCCGAAACTTTCTTCTTTTCAAAGATACATGAACTGTGAATGTGGATCAAATTATTCAGCAACTGTTACTGTTTTAGTTTGGGAAAGTCATTTTTGAGAAAATGCCCCTGACCGTGAGGGAGAGAAGGCCAAAGATGTAGTCCTGGAATACTTTTAGCAGAGATCTCATTTTGTATTTTTTTATATGTTATAAAATATATTACATGGCTGATTTCATGGGTTTGTATGTGGAAAAACTAATATTGAACAGTACAATTTTGCTTACTCATTACTTCATAATCTATAACTTTTTATATTTTTTGCATGAAATTTAGCTCAAAGTGTCTTCTTTCCAATGAGATCTATTTTTTGCTTCTAGGTCACTGAGGTCAAGAAATGTTACTGCTTAAATTTAGGTAGGTGTAAATCCTCAAAAGTGAGTGCTAACTTAATTCCTTCATTTTGCCTCAACACAAATCAATCATGTGACATCCAACATTTTTTACAGTGTGCAATTACAAAGCAAAATAATACAACAAAATACAATAACTGTAACTCATATACAGTTGAAATCAGAATTATTAGCCCCCCTTTGAATTTATTTCCCTTTTTTAAATATTTCCCAAATTATGTTTAAAAGAGCAAGGAAATTTTCACATTATGTCTGATAATATTTTTTCTTCTGGAGAAAGTCTTATTTGTTTTATTTCAAGTAGAATAAAAGCAGTTATTAATTTTTTAAAAACCATTTTAAGGTCAAAATTATTAGCCCCTTTTAAGTTAAATTTTTTGATAGTCTACAGAACAAACCATCGTTATACAATAACTTGCCTAATTACCCTAACCTGTCTAGTTAAACTAATTAACCTAGTTAAGCCTTTAAATGTCACTTTAAGCTGTTTAGAAGTGTCTTGAAAAATATCTATTAAAATATTATTTACTGTCATCATGGCAGTAATTATTCTAACCCCTTTTCCACTTTAGAGCAATTAAAAATAACAATCCATAACAATAAATAATAATATCGACAATAGTCATCAAATTAACACCATGATTCGGTCATCATCTCATTTTTTTTCTAATACACAAACTAAATAAACCATAGGAACATCAATCAAACCTGTTCTTCTTCCATATACATTCGGAAAACCATATTCTTATACTACTTTTTGAAGTGAGTCACACTTGGACACTATGCTGAAGTGATACATTTTTCCTCAGTTCTTGCTTTCTCTAGAAATCGAACCGGCAACTTAAGTGTTGCTAGCACCATAATCTACTCTACAGTTTATTCCATGAAATTGTGTCGTTATTTACTTAATGTCCTGAAAGACAACATGAGGGCAAGTAAACCATGACAGGATTGTAATTCCTAAATGAACTATCCCTTTAAGAGCTTCACCTGGATCTCAGTAAAAATAGCTAGGTTAAATTCCATTCAGTGCAGAGTAATGAATTTTAAGACCTTTGACCTGGCAGTTAATACTATGGTAGAATGAGAAGAGTTTTTATAAACCGGTGCATGCAGAGGCTAAAATTAACACTGGTAAAATACCAAATTAATGTCTATTAGTACATGAAAGCACGTTTTCAGCAATATTATATGAACTCCCCAAAATAATGCTTAAGAATGCAATATATTTAAACGTGATTATCAAAGCATAAAGAGGGTGTTTTAAATATATAAATCTGTCATGTGATGTAACTGTGATTTTTTGATGTGAAGAGCTCATGACAGTGTTTTCATTGTTTCTGAGTGGTTCAGTTGAGTTCACGGCTCCCCACAAACACAACTGCAGTGAATATGTCTCTTACAATATGCATTTGAAAATGCAACCTGCTTATAATGACATGTATTATGACGAATTATAAATCTGATGTACACAAAAGAAAATTTTCCATCAAAATAAAAACACTATTGTTTATTTTTTATTATTATCATTTAATATAATGAATTAATTATATTAATTATAATTATTATAATTTTACAATGTAAAATTGTAGTGATACAATGGTAAAACAGTGATTTCTTTACTGATTTGTTAAGTAATAATTGCAATTAGATGTATAAACCCAAGAGTTTTTATTGAAATCATTCAAATACAGTTTTATGATTGGTAAAAATAAATAAATAATACTATTTGATATGTACAGTAGGCAATATTGGAAGTGGCTAAAAAGTTTTTGCAAACTCTGCAATAGTTACTGTCTGAGATTTTTTTTAAATTGGGTTATATTTTATATAACTATACGTTTACACATTTATGAAATTATTAAAGCTTATTTATTATGTTAGGTTTTTATAGTGTTTGATGTTTTTTATGTTTTTGTTGGGTCTGATGCTACATAATTTTGTCCTGCATTTCAATTTATTGTGATGTTTTAAATGACAAAAATAAAGAAAACTCAAACTGAAACTGGTTTTAAATAAATAAATAAAAACAATTTGATATATACCGTCAATATTGGAAGTGGCCAAAAATTAAGTTTTTGTATTAATAAATAATATAACAAATAAACTAATAAATGTATTTATGAATAAACTAATAAATACAATAATAAACAACCTAATAATTGTATTATTAAACAAACTAATAAATGTATTAGCAAATAAACTCATAAATGCATTAACAAATAAACTAATAAATATATTAATAAATAAAATCATAAATGCATTAATAAATAAATTAATAAATGTATTATTAAATAAACTAATAAATGTATTAATAAATAAACTTAGAAATGTATTTCTCTACTGATTTATTTAGTATTAATTGCAATAAGATGTATTTACACAATTTATTTTGACAGTTTTTAATTAAATCATTTAAATAGTTTTATGAATGGTAGAACTAAACAAAATATTTAATAAAAAATAAAAATTTGATATATTATTAGTCAATATTTTTGTATTATGAATAAATAATATAAGTAAACTAATAGATGTATTAATAAATAAACTAATAAATGTATCAATATTTTAATCTATGCTTATACAAATATTAGTGTTGTTCAATTAACATTTTGCATTTAGGAAAACTTTCAATAAATGTTTTGATCCACCTTTAATGTTTTGCATATATACATGTGTATTGTTCTATGATTTGTAACTGATGTTATACAGTATATATGTGCTCATTCTTTTTGCAGAAATATTTAAAATAAAAACCTTTGAACACACAGAGAAAGGAAAACATTTAAACCTTCCAGAAGTTCTTCAAAATCCTCCACAAAGAATTCTCTTAGAGGTCTTCGCTTTGGTCGCTTTAGTGTATTAACTAGCTGCTGGATCTTTGCTGACACACGGCTACTGACAGGAACACCTGCACACAAACACAATCATATATAAGGTGCAATATAATAAGCATAACAAAATTTATTACATACATTTTGTGATGATAACAACAGGATAAACTAATTTTTGTAGTATTAAAATGATAGTTCAGCTAAAAATGAAAAATTCTGTCAACATTTACTTACACTACATCACTTGTAGTACAACAAAGCTAAATTCTTGAATTTTTTTAAGAGTATTCACTGACTTCCATTGTATTTTTTCTCACCATGTATGCCAATGGCTACTGGTTTCCACCATTCTTCAAAATATCTTACACAGTGTAAAATACACTAGAGCAGTGGTTCTCAAACTGTGGTACATGTGCCACTAGTGGTACGCAGGCTTCCTTCTAGTGGTATGCGGAGGAATGAAATATGTCATGTACATGCTACACACATTTCAAAATTTATCAAAAATGATGTATATAATAGGTCATATTTGACATATAGCTTATATTTCTGAGGTAATCTGCCACATTTTTTAACTGTGCAGAGTTGTAGCTGCTTTACTAGGCCTACTACGCTACTGTATTTCAACACTGCTCATTTTGGTGGTACCTGGAGAGACCATTTTTTTCTGAGGAGGTACTTGATGAAAAAAGTTTGAGAACCACTGTACTAGAGGGTGAGTAAAATGCTGAGCACGTTTTCGCTTTTGGGTGAGCCGTCTCTTTAAATAGTGTTTGTTTTGTCATTTGAAATTCCTCCGCACTGCAGGAACACGTGAAACAAAACAGCCCCACTCACCATCTCCTGTCTCCATCAGCTCAGCATTACCATATTTGGGCGGGGGTCTGGTAATCATGGCGATTTGTGGACGATGAACCAAAATGGGGGCGGAGTCTGGCATGTAGCTAGTGATGTCAGGAGGAGCCGACAGACTGTCTGCAGTACACAAACAAACATGTTAACTCTTGAGCAGAGTAGCATACAGCAATTAATTTACCTAACAAATCTGATGATTCCATAGCATTTCTAAGGAATGAGATACAAAAGCACATATAATAACAATAATGATGTATACGTATCAAACAGTGCTGTTTTTCAAACCTTTCCATTCGAAGCAAAGACCGTTGTTTACATTGATCTATAGTTTGTTGATAAAACACCAGTAGATTCATATGAATATGCATGCACAGCTAAATAAAAGGAATGGTTCACAAAAAACTAAAACTCTGTCATCATTTACTTGTCTTGTCACAAACCTGTTTGATTTTCTTTGTTCAGTTGAACACTAAAGAAGCTATTTTGAAAAATGTTGGAAGCGTTTAAACATTAACTTCCACAGTATGTGTTTTTCCTACTATGGAAGCAAATGGTTACCAGTTTCCAACATTCTTCAAAATATCTTCTTTTGTGCTCAACAGAATAAAGAATCTCATAAAGGAGTGAATGTTGAGTAAATGTTTATTTTGGGGTGAACTACCCCTTTAACCCTTGTGTGCACAATCTTAAAGGGCAGTTCACTCAAAAGGAAGATTTGTTCATACTTTATTACTCCACAGCCTGTGTGAAACAATAGGAGGGCCCACCAACTTCCTTTGCATGGAAACAAAATGCAGTAGCACTTTATTTAAAGCAGCAATTCTCACTATAAACTACTAGCTTAATTAAATGCCTTTACCTAAGATATTTGTATGATATCAGCATGATTTCTTTCTGCATAATACCAGTTATACCATAATATCATAGCCCAACTACTACCTAAGGCAGTGTGCATTGATGATCGAGGGGAGGTCAACTTTTTCGTACGTTTCATCCATTTTCAATGTTTTCGAGGGATATTTAGGCCAAATCCCAATTCTACCCCTTAGCCCTTCCCCTTACCCCTCGATTTGAGCATTCACGCCAAGGGGTAGGGGTGTCCTAATTTTCTTTAGCTTGAAGGCGTAGGGCTAAAGGGAAAGGGTGAATACCCCTTTGAACGAAGATTTTTCAGGAACACACTCGAAACCAAGGGGTAAGAAAATTTCCCCGAATACACCAGCCACAACGGCAGAATAGTTACACCCGGGGGTAAGGAGATCCACAAATTTTTATTTTTGTAATTATTACGAATTTTTACAACAAACAAACACGTTTTAATATATTCATAACCGCGTTCGTGTTTTACTGTCATGCTTTAGAAAAACACAAAAATGAAAAACTATATAATCTATAATCCATAATAATAACTGCTGTACAGCAGTCCTGCAACATTCTGACACTCGATCACACTCAAATACCCTGTCAGGAATGTCTAGTGGCTGGGAATGGGCTTTTTACGGTGTATAATGTCAATGTAAAGTTTCAGGTCAAAATACCCCAAAATAATGTTTTTTTCTCTTTGAAACTGACCCTTTTAGGATTTTATCCTAACTGTGACATTTTGGTGACTGTCACTTTAAATCCAAATGAGATTGTGCTCTTTTTAGAAGAGGGTGAAGCTACAAATGCCCATGTGTCAGCATAGTGGCAGATTCAAAAACAAGACTAGTGTCCTATGCTAATAAGGGAGAGATCATCACTGGTGGGTGGGGTTTTCCCCCTCTGATGACTTATACAAAAGGAGAATGTCATTCAAAATGTTTCTTCAAACTGTTTATATGAAGTGTGTTTATAAAATATAAAATTAATAAACTTTCGCCATTAAAAACTGGTTATATTCACAGACTGTTGCCACACAGTTGGTCTAGTGTTTAAACCCCTTATAAAAGTAATGTTTTTCATAATAGTGCCCTTTTATAACTATTAATAATCAGCAAATTAGGAGTTTTTTGAAGCAAAAGTCACAATTAGAAAACGGTGCTTCCCACAGGTTTGAAATATACTTGCGGTGGTAGCCGGATTGAAACACCTATTACCCACGGCACATGGTTAAAGTGTTTTTTAACAATATTTGTATTTATTATACACTGTTTCCTTTTTGTGGTTTTATTTCTGGGTTTTTTTTAAAGACTGTTGAAATAAAAAAAGAAATCCCGTTATTTGTTTTACTTTTATTCTATCGAGGAGCCATGTGCACACACTGACAGGTAAAATCTGCTGCTGACATTTTGTACAGTATTGCCAAAGCATGTTAGATATGTATAAAATACGTAATACATTAACATCATCAAATTAAAAATATACACAGCAAATGAAAAATAAATGACGTAAAGGAATAAAAGCATCTATGAAATAAAAATGTCTAAAAAATTCACAATTACAAGAATAAAAAGTGTAGATTATTTAAATAAGGCAAATTAGTTAATTTACCATTTCTAACGGTGTACAAACATTTTCAGCTAGTTTAGATGTAATTTTGTCCTCTCTGAGTAAATAGAAAGGTTTATCTGATTTGTTTAGATCAAAGAATTAATTATATAATGTTTCTCTTGCTCTTGCGGCTGTGCATGCACTGTTAGCTGCGAACTCAAGTAAAAGTAAACCGGGCCTAAAATAAAAATGACGATGGCTTGGAAGGCGAAACCAAAAGCCAAATGCTGGACATTTTCGGAGATTTAGAAACTCTGGACAAATGCATATTTAAGTCCCAAAAAGGAGTGTCAATGAAGGTCTGTAGAGTACATGAGACTGTCTGTGAGAGTGTTGACAGTTCTCAAACACACAACGAGAAGTAGAAAATGTGTGGGGCGAGAGGAGATTTGAAAATACATGTCACTAAATATACTTGGGCGGTCTTAATATACCTGAGCGGCCCGCCCAAGTAGTCTATGTTTGGGAAGCACTGGAAGATTATTATTAGCAAGAATGCAACCTTTTTCCCAATTATATTCTGTCAGAACTAGATAAGAGTAAGAACATTACGACAGCATTTCCTTTACTGGGTGATTTGTTTAATTTACCTCTGGTGATTATCAATTTGAACACTAAAGAATCATGAAACACTGACCCTCTGAATCCAGAGATGACCAAGGGCGATCTGAATGGTAGTCACTGGAATGCCTGACAACTATTCCATTCTCAGCAGAAACACCCATTTCTCTTAATCCCCGCCTTTTCAGAGACAGATGAGACATCGGACCAACTGAGGAGAGAGAGAAACATGAAGATTAATCTATAGCAATCAGAAAAGAACTATATAAGCAAATATCGGTTTTCTACGCGAGAAGCTGACGCTTAGTGTGAGGTGTTTATTGGCTAAAAGAAGTTGAGCATGAGAAGCTAAAAGGCTAAAATTGTTTGAGGAACGGGGCAGCATGGTGGCTAAGTGGATAGCACTGTCGCCTTACAGCAAGTTCGAGCCCAAGCTGGGCCAGTTGGCATTTCTGTGTGGGTTTCCTCCGGGTGCTTCAATTTCCCCCACAGTCCAAAGACATTTGGTATGGGTGAATAGGATGAACTTAATTGGCCGTAGTGTATAATGAATGTGTGTGTGTGTGAATGTGTGAATGAGAGTGTATGGGTGTTTCCCACAACTGGGTTAAGACTAGAAGGCTGTGTAAAATATAGGTGGTTTATTCCACTGTGGTGGTTCATTGCACTGTTAAATCAGGGACTAAGCCAAATTAATGTTTAAGCAATTGATTAACTGAAGGTAGTAGAGCATAAGAAGCTGGTTGGCTGATATGAGATGATCTCAGAATGAACGTTAATTTAAAAGAGACATTGATCAGATGCGACAAGTGCTTATTTCAAATTAGAGTGTGACAAGCTGATTGGCTGAAATTGGTCAAAAAGCATGAGTTAAGCATGAGAAAGTAATTAATTGAGCAAACAGCCACTTTACATTGGCTAAAGTGGGCTAACCCTAAAGAGCTTATTGGCTAAAACAAGTTGAGCAAAATTAATTGATTTGCAAAGAGAGTTGAGCATGACTGACTGAAATGAGTCAAGCCAATATAACTGATTGGTTGAAGTGAGCTAAATGTGAGAAGGTGATTGACAAAATTGACTGTGTAAATATTTATTGACTGAAGTAAACTTTACGTGAAAGGCTGATTGGCTGAATTTGGTTGAGCAAATAAAACTGACTGGCTGAAGATAGGTGAGCTTTAGAAGATAAGTATATGAATTTTAACAAACAGAACTGAGTGGACTAAGTGAGTTGAGCGTGAGAAGCTTACTGGTTGAAATCAGTCAAGCAAACAGAATTGATTGGCTGAAGTGAATTGAGCGTGAGAAGATAATTGGCTGAAATTAGCTGGCCAAACAGATTTAACTGACTAAAGTGAGCTTATGAAGCTGACTGGCTGAATACAACTGATTGGCTAATGTGAGCTAAGTGCAGTTTTATAATTGGCTGTGCTGGTTCAGAATGAGAAGCAGAATTTTTTTGCATTATAAAAGTATTTGTATATGAATTGAGTGCTAGAAGCTGATTGTGATAAATAGGCTGGGCAAATACAAAATATTTACTAGAAGTTAATTGGCTGAAATAAGATGATCTTAATAAAGAAAGTAACTTCAAAACATACACTCAAAAAATTACTTTTGCTCCTTTTTCAAACTACATAATTAAAATGAGTTGAAACCAGCGTTCCGGAAAGTTACTTTTGAAAAGTAATGCATTACATACTGGATAACTCCTCTGACTCAAAATAAACAAATATCTTGAGTTATTGAGTTACTAGAACAGTACATTGACTCATCTGCTAAAAGTCAATTAAGCAAGGTAAAAAGTAACTCTCGTTACATTTTTTAAATGTAACTCAAATAATGACAAATTTTTAAAAGTAATGCGTTACTTTACTCGTTAGTTTGGAGAGGTAATATTATTACATATTACATAACGTGCGTTACTTAAGACACGTCACCCCCAACACTGGTTGAAACACAATTCTTAAGGTTTCTGTTGGGATAACTTAACTGTTTTATGTGTTTAATATTAAGCTAACTTAACTGTAAGTAGAAAATTCTATTTTGAGAACGTTCTGAGTCCAGAACTATACATGCTGTATATACAGATTAATGAAAGGATGTAAAGTAATGTGTTTGATACTTTTGTATGTTTTGTGTTATTAGTTAAGTAAATTCACAATGCATTAAGATGAAGACCGCAATAAAGCCTAAGAGTACTAACAAGAAATAATTTATATTAAGGTAAAAACAGATTTTAACCTTTAAAATGTTTAACAACAACAAAATGAACAGTAAGTCGATAAAAAAATACCCAAATCAAAATAAATCTTTTAGCTTTGCATATTGTATAAATTGCTTCACGTGGCCTTAACAAATGTGGAAATCGCTTGTAAAAATATCTAAATCCATTGCAAAAAAACAAGTCTCCGTTGTTTCTGTTTCTTTGTGAATAAATAGTTTGTTTTTAACTGGATCTTCTCAATGAAATGATTGAACCAGTTAATTAAAAGTGAACAAAGTTGTCATGAAGCGCTTTGCGTCTTCAGTACTAACATACTGGATACCCCTATGACTCAAAATAAACTAATATCCTGAGGTATTTAGTTACTAGAACAGTACACTGACTCATCTACTGTGAAAAAAGCACCCTTATTGGGTGTGTGATTAAACCGGACTAAGGTCATTTTTATTCCACAATATATTTTGTAAAAGTCAATTAAGCAGGGTAAAAAGTAACTAGCGTTAATTTTTTTTTAAGTAACTCAAATAATATTACTTATTTTTAAAAGTAATGTGTTACTTTAGAAAAGTAATATTATTACATAGCGTGGAATACTTATAACGCGTAACCCCAACACTGGTTGAAATAACACAATTCTTAAGGTTTTTGTTGGCATAACTTAATATTTTTTACAAATTTAAGTGTATTGAGCATAAAAAAATGAAGTTAACTTAATCGATTTGTGTTGAGGGAATCTTGTGGAGCCCAGCATTTTTTTACAGTGTAAGATGCTTCTTTTAAATGAAGCGAGTAGTGCATAAAGATCTGACTGGCTTATTTCAGAAAGTGACCCAAATTGATCTCAGTGTCATTTGTCGACAAGTGAGCATTTGTTTGCGTTCTTACTGGCGTATGTGTGCATGCTGGTCTCTGCCAGTCGGGCTGCGTTGGCAGAGCTGTTGCTGTGCGACGATGATGACGATGATGTTGAGGGAGAGCCGTGGAGAGCTCTGCTGATCCACGAGTCCACACTGACACCCCCTGCTCTCCCCAGAGACCCCTCAGCGTCAGAGCCGGAGGACGAGTCTGCAAAGACACACAGAGAACAGTCACACACACTCTTACTCAAGGCCTCTTAAATACAAAAACACACACATATATTAGTATTGGTGGTTTACGAGGACTCTCCATAGGCGTAATGTATTTTATTAAGTAAAATACCCCCCACCCTTAAACCCAACAATCACACTAAACCTGTAGCATAATTTGAATGTCAATTAAGCAGTGGTCAAGTTTTTAATAATGTAAGTAAGTGTAATACAAGCTTCAGTGAATTAAATGTATGCATTTACTTAAATTAGAAAGTATTAATAAAGCGAATTGAAGTGTTCAGTGTTTCGAGAAATATATAGTGTATTCTGACCTACAGTAACCTCTTATTAGCTATTTCTGAGGTTACTGTAGGTCAAAGCACAAACTGTGTCTACTTTTACATTACTTTTAGGCTTTATGAAGATACAAGCACCTATTTTACAAGAGAAATGAACACTCACAATGTCTATCGGTGCTTTAGATCTGCTGGTTTCAGACAGCTGAATGATTTTTTTCTGAGACTGATTGGCGCGATTATGCATTCACAATGGTATAAACCGTTATAGGGGTGGTCAAATGTACTGCATGCATTTTAATATTTTAATTATTAATATTATTATTAAACAGTGTTTCTCAACCACGTTTCTGGAGGGACACCAGATCTGCACATTCTCTATGTCTCCTTAACCAAACACACACGAATCAGATCATCAGCTTATTAACAGAGACTGAAAGACCTGCAATGGATGAGACAGACAAAGAAGACATCCAATATATGCAGTGTTGGTGGTCCTTTATGAACATGGTTGAGAAACACTGATCAGAAAAATAAAATTCTCACTATTAAAGGGCTAAACACACCATACATCTTGTTTTGATGTCCTTTAGGGGATCAAGTGTTAATTAGGGTGTCAATCCCATCAATTGTGTCCTCATAAGCCACCTTAATAGAGTACAACTAAGTCATAATCTTGTCATTATACAATATTCTGTGCTTGTAAACCACCAAAAGCAGTACACACACACCTGGAGGAGTGTATGTGTCCATGGAGGTTTGACCAATGAGCGAGCGCCGTTTGGATGGCAAAAGCACAGCCATCTTTCTCTCACTGTGTCGCTCCAACGCAGCCTGAACCGCTTCTGAGTGAACATCTGAGAGGAGCGAGAGAGAGTTTACACACATATAGAGAGCGCATCATGCTGAAATGCTTCTTAATGTTTATGTATGTATAAAGTTCAATAGAGTTGCTTTTTCAAGTCTGTTCACAGATTTATTTAGGGAGATTATTTATTCAGTGGTTTATCCATACAGGAAATGCTGTCAGCGGCACAGATTGCATCTAAGCCTAACCACATGTTCTGCAGTGCAGATGAAGATCCACGAGAACTTTCGAAAAACATAAATTACAACAGACGTACAGTTGTATTTTTTTCAATGATATTCAATATATTTTCTAGCATATAATTGACATATAGTTAAAACAATGTCATTCATTTTACTTCGGCTTAGTTCCTTTATTCATCAGGGGTAACCACAGTGGAATGAACTGCCAACTTATCCAGCATATGTAAACTCCACACAGAAATGCCAACTGACTCAGCTGGGACTCAAACCAGTCCCTTCTTGCTGTGAGGCGACAGTGCTAACCACAGAGCCCCTGTGCCGCACCCAATATCATTAATTTATATCATTAATTGGTACATGTAATTAATTTTAACATAATATTACATTATTTTTAAAAAGAGCTTAAAGACAGTTGTTTTCATTGAATTTATGTATTTTTTTTCAGGGACAGAGAAAAGATTTTAGCAAGTGACAATATTTGTTCTCTTCATCAGGCTTTTTTATAACAGAGTTATAAAAACTCTTTGGGTTGCGGCTGGATAGGCATCCGCGTAAAATATATGCTGGAATAGTTGGCGGTTCATTTCACAGTGGCGACCCCTGATAAATAAGAGTCTAAGCCGAAGGAAAATGAATTAATTTTTTTTTTTTCATAACAGTTTAAAATGAATGTATTGCTTTAAATGTAAAATTCTTATAATACATTCTAACAATTAATTACACTTTTTTTTTTATCGAGTTTGATGGAAAAAATTTGCAACTATAGCAGCACATGTAAATACAAGTAAAAACTGGAAAAACGTAAAATTTTAATATTAAAAAAATTGTATTATTGGGAGAAAAATTATATATTTTTATACTTCAATCAAACTATCATTAGACAAATTTATTCAAATCATAGATTTATCTAATGATGAAACACAACTAAATTAAGTTTGAATCTGTTTGGACTGTTTTCATAGAAGAAAAACAGTGGGGGAAAGAAGTATTGAACTTGTAACCATTTTTCTCAGAAACACCTGAGCAATGCATGTGACTTCATTCTCCATATGAAAGGGGTCTTCAAGCTGCCATCATCAAAAAGTCCTTTTACAGGGTTACTGCAAGTTTCAGCAATTAAATCTAAGACTTTTTAAGACCACTATGAATGAAATTTTAGACTTTTTTTTTTTTTTTTTTAATGGCACAAGCGGATTTCCTTTTTAATTTGACCTATTAAAAATGTATATAATTTAATACATTTAATAATACAATAATACAAATTATTTAATAATAAAAAATGTTACTTGTTATTATTAAATGTTATTTCTCAGCACATATTTCAATTAATGTCTCAAAACAAGCAAGCTCTAGTTGTATATGTAAACTTTTCTTTAAAATGAAATAAAAACATGTTTTAAATTTTTTTTTAAACTATAATGTATGCACAAATATCTGTCCAGGTCAGTGTCCACAGCATAAAAAAATTTAAGACCTACAACACAATGTTTCAGTAAATTAAGGACTTAAATTAAGGCCTAAAATTTAGTTTTTGAGATTTACTGTAAAACATCATAAGACTTTTAAAGACCCCGCGGACACCCTGTTTTATATATAAAAACATGATACTTATTTCCCCCACTGTATAAACTATTGACAGTTTTGTGTCTAAAATTCTGAACTGTTAGCTGCATTAATGGTATCTCACCTGAGCGGTAACGTTCATCCCTTGACCCAGTGGACCGTCTGCGTTGATAACGTGAGGATGAGGAAGACGATGAAGATGGTGTTACAGGGATGCGCCGTTCTGCTCCTACAGGAAGCACAGAGGGACAAATATAGCCACAACAGAAAACAGAAACTGTATAGTGCTGTGCATACCTGTCAACTCCTCATTTTTGCCAGGATTCTCTAGTATTTTACAATTCTATCCCGCTATCTTCCCGTTTAAGTATTTTCCCATATTTCTCCTGTATAATTAAACTTTCTATGAAAAGTAGCAACAAAGGGCCGATCTCCAATGTGATATAATTGCAAGAGCTGTTCAAGAGAATTAAGTTAGAGCATGTTAAAAACAATATTAAAACAGCCACATTTACTAGCTATGCGTCAAACATCATTCTTCCTATGCAACCTCTGAATCGGTCAATTCATGTAACTGTGCTGACTGACAGAGGCACTTCATGGTGATAAAGAAACGCTTCTATATACGTGATTAGAAGAAAAGCGAAAGTGGATACACTTAATAATATATAAACAGCCGTCCTGGTCTGTTTTATATTACACACAAATAGTTTTGTCTTAAAAGTGCATAAACAGTTACCAAAGAAATCGAATGCTTTCATTATGAATCTGTGGATTTTTAAAGTGACACCTCTGTTATCAAACAAAACTGGTGGATCAAATTGAGAGATTCACTGTTCTTCAATAAATAACTATAGTAACTTTATTTAATATTTAAATACAGTGAATAAAACAAGACATTATGAATTGATTTAATTTCTGCATAGGTTATTGATTTTAATAGGAAAATCCTATAGGAAACTTATTTTCAATTTTCGAATGTTTGCTAATTTCCTCCCCATATTTGTAATGGCTTCAACTAGGCTTATATACAATTAAGTTACTTTGAATGAACAGATTAAGGAGTTTGTGTTCATTTTGCGAGTTCTTCTGGGCAGGTTTGAGGTTTTTGGTATGCTGCTTTGTATTTATTTATTTATTTATTTATTTATTGCCACATTAGACACTTATGGCTATTTCAGGGCAAAATGGATATACATAAAAATATAACATAATAAAAACAAATTCGTCTTACAATAAAAAGTTACTTAGACAAATATATAGGATAGAAATAAATAAAATCGATACGAGAATATATTTAAAGTTAATATGATTTTTCAGTCAAATTATTGATAAATAATTTAAGATTCTTCCCGGTGGTACCTTATTAAAAATGTCCATCAAAGTACTCTCCTTATAAATGTTTTGTCTAATGGTATTCAAACTTCACATTCCAACAGAAAATGTTTCATGGTAAGATCAGCTTGGCAGTAATTACTTTTAGATGGTGCTTCATTATTCAGTAAATACAAATGAGTCAACCTAGAATGTCTAATTCGACATCTAGTATGGATAGGTTGCTCATGCCTGGTCTCAAAATTATAATTTGCAAAGTGTCTTTCATTTATTTTCGGTTTACTTCAATTAATTTCTTATTTTTGCAGTTGTCCCATTCCATTTGCCATGTTTCATTTATATACAAATTAATTGTAGGTTTTAAGTCTTCAGGAGGAATTAAACATTCTGACTCTTTCAAAGAGATAGCCTGCTAGTATGCTGCTTTGTAAAGTACATTTTTGTGTGTTTGTTACCTGGTGTATGAGGTAGGTATGCTTGTAAAAGTTTGGATCTTTTCTTCTCGTAGCCCTTCTGGGTGATATCACCTGAAAAAAACAACAAGAAAAAAAGTCATGTTAAATAAACTAAACATCCATCACTGCTGATGTTCATGATTCTTTTGACGCAATGGCTAACAAAAGCTCTACAAGACACATTCAAAGTGGATAGCCATCATCCAGTCACTGAAACAACTTCAGAAGGCAGTTTTTAGACACTCAAATAGGGCCAAGTATGTCAATTTTACTCCTACTAAGCAGAATTACGTCACAATACAGAAATATTGGAGGTCTATAATACACACAATGAGCAATTACAGGTGTGTGCACAAGTCTTTTTTGCAGTTGGAGGCAAGTGTTAAAGTACAAATTAAATCAAAACTAACCAGATGATTTTGTAGCTGACATTGCTAGTTTTGTGGTGAACAATTGCTCAACAGAGAAGATTGTGATTGGCCGTGAAGGTCATCAGTTCTCTGCACTTCACTGCGGTTTACCAAGTTTGCACTCAGAGAAGTGCAAATGACCTTCACAGCCAATCACAGTCATTTCTGTTGACCACTGGTGAATACTATGGCAAATCAGCTGTTTAAGAACAAGCTCAGCGGCGCTTAAATGTTAGCGGGAAACAGACGTTTTTAAAACTTCAGTACTGGGACAACACTGTTACAGGCAACACGAGGATGTGCTACAGAGGACTGCATTGTTTTATCGCTCACCAGGTTACATAGGCTAAAGCAAGGAGTCCCCACGAAGTTTACCTGGTGCCATGATCTGAAGCCTAGGAAGACACTCTTAAAGAGATTATGATGTCGTTTGATGCCTAATATGCTTTTAATTGTCTTAAATTTAACTTAACTGAATGATATTAAAGTGATGTTTACACCATATCTGCGTTTCGAAATCGCGGAAACAGCTGGAAGTTTGTAGTCAACAGTATGTTGTTGCAATTTTTACAGTGCTGACCCTATACTTCTAGGTTTCTTCCCACCATAGCCTCGCTTTCATGTTTTAAAATGGCGACCACGTGAAATAAGTGTATTGCTGTCAGATTAGGGCTGCACAATATTGAAAATATCGATATTTATTTTATTTTGCTATGATAAATATTGCAATATGAATACAGTTTCACAAGATAGTTTGAATAGCACTATTTGACAGTCTCCTATAGGCTTGGGCCGATAGACGATGCCATCGTCCATTGCTGATGGCCGATAAACTTCACCATGCTAAGCTGGCATCACGACCCATCGCCCTGCCCCACATGTATATTGATATATAAATCATTATTTGTATGTCTTAATAGCAATAACGGTCTTTTCAAGAGCTGTGTTAAATTTTACATCTAGCTGCCGCTTGCACGGCTGACAGCATCGTTAGGATTAAATAAATGATAATACACTACCTCTCACGCTTAAAATGATTAGATTCAGTGGCAAATGCCTTTACCTGCAAACCCTGTCCCAGACTTTACAGTGAATGGCTTTAATTATTTCCATAGCGGACTTGAAGCCACTGAAAGTCTTTTATCCATTCTTAGAAAAGTGTAAATGGTGGATTAACATTCAGCACATGATCACTAATAAGATGTGCCATTATTAGTAACTGTAGGTGGTTTCTAAAACAAAATTTGTCTGTGTTATTTACTTATTTTCATTCTCTCATCTTCAGCGCTTCACAGTTTCGAAGGCAGAAGACATTAACTGAGTGATTGACAGCTGATATTAACCAATCTATTCGCATTCCGTTCTAGAGCAGTGAGCCAATAAGAAGAGCACAAAGGCGGGGCAAGCATTGCAGGCTTTTTTTTGTACTTCAGCAAGTTCATATAACAACTTAATCAGTTTAAATCAGTTTAAAACTTAAACAGTTTTGATCTGTTCTTGTTTGGCATTTTCAGGTGCAAAGATGCATTCTGTATAAATGTCTCCTAAATCCGCACACACAGTGAGAATTTTGCCATAAAAACAGTGAAAATTTATGCATGAGCACAAATGCTTCAAAATATATTTTAAGTCGCATTGATAAAATTTCGGGTGCATATGTGACCAAAACGGTCAAGCTCTAGCATCCTTACTTGTTATTATTTTCTTATAATAATAATAATAATAATAAAATAAGAAAATTATTATCAATCACAAAAAAATTACAGTGAACTCTAAACAAACTCTCGTCTCCTTCACTAGCTGTGGGAAAAAGCCGTTATAACAACACAGATCACTCTGCCTATTCATGCCAGAGTCCTGCGGAAAAAGTGATTGCCAGGTGGTAATTTGTAAGTAACTTTATTTATTTATGGTTTGGTTATGGGTAAAGCAAAGACCATGTGGGTCAGGTAGTGAAAACGATAGGCTACAATCAATTAATTTGTTATGAATTAATTGATATTTAACAACCACCACCCCCACCTATGACGACGATGCCATCGTCGATCACAAGTCTCCTAGAGAGTCTAGACCGTATACTCACACTATGTACAGTTGCTTTCACCGGGCCAAAGCACGCTTGTCCCCCTCCCGTCTCCCCTGACAGCCCGCACTCACATTACATTCGGGCCTGGGCACGCTTACATCATCGATTCTGCGCTGTTCAGTAAGTGCTTTCGCTCAGCACAGTGGAGATTTCTTTAGGTATATTGTTTAAGTTGTTTGATATGCAGTGACACGCTTTCAAATATTTCACCGAACAGATCAGCCACTTTTGACGCTCATAAACAACCATAAAGTCCTCTTGCTGAAGGTGCGCAGCTGTCGTGCAGTGAGGGGTTTGCGTCTTTAATAATCTACGACATACTGCACCACAGCCCAAGTGAACCGCGCTCCGTGCCAGAGCCCGATTCAGAGCACTCACACTTCTCAAACGATCCGGGAAACGGGCCTGGGCACGATTCGGAAAGCATAGTGTGAGTACGCCCTAAAAGTACTCAAAGACAGAAATTAAAACAACAACAAAAAATATTAAAATGCAAAAAATGTTTTTCTTACTTTTTTTGGTCTCGTTTCTAGACCAAATATAAAAACAATTCTTAAAGCAAGTAAAAAAATTTTGTTTTCACCCCCAGAATAAATAAGTTAAAATAAAAACCTTTTCCTTAAAACAAGCTAAATTACCAGCCAGTGAGCTAAGCCAAATAATCTGGTTTTTGCTTTGAAATGTAGATATGTGGACTAGAAACAAAACAATTCTTTCTTTTTTTTCCTCGTGCATATAAATCATATAAATTTTGTATAAATACGGTAATTAGACACAATTCTGCAGCTCCTGCTCAACTATAATTCAGACTCAACATTGCACATCCTGTGATGTGATTATTGTGATATTGATGCTGACATGATATATTGTGCAGCCCTAATCAGATCAGATACTAATAAACAATCATACATCTACAAATACGGCATGGCTGGAATAATAACACAAATGATATCCATGACAACATAGGTGTGGTGGCCCCCCCCGAGACCCACAGGAAATGAAGACATGGAGGTCCTTTTCTCACGAGACTCTCTGCTCCATTATCCACAACACACACACAGAGAAAATCTAAACTTTAAACACATTTCAGCATTCAACATAAATAAAAGCTTTGATTATACACACATGCAAAACCTACAAGGGGAAAACCATAAATGGCCACTGCACAAACTGGGTTACTAGGTCAATCTGCACTAAGCTTTACATAATATACATGCACATCTGCAGTCAAGATAGCATATGCATATACACTGAAACCTGAGCAACTGTGCACACGCATATTAAAATGATAAGGAAGATAACATGCACACACGTAAACGCTTGTGCACTCATACTAAACACAAGCTCAGTGGCTACTTTACTAGGTACAACTGCTTATCAACAAAAAAAGCCAAACATGTGGCTGTTAACTGCAATTAGAAAGCATGCAGATATCATCGCAGCGGTTTAGTTGCTTTCGGGCTGTCGTATAATTACGATTGGCACGTTATGGCATGTGATCAGAGCAAATGAACGTGGGAGGATTGTTGATGCAAGGTTTCTCAGAAACAGTCCACCTCGTGGGATTTACATGGTTGGGTTCACAGAGAACGCTGTGTGAATTCAGCCAGATCTGTGAGAGAAAACACCTTGTTAAACAGAGCTCAAAGGAGCTGAAGACAGTGCTCTACTGTTAAAAGCACTGTTCTGCACGAAAAAGGGGTATTTGAAATGCATCGCATGTCAAAGTTTAAGGAAATAAACTCCACGCATGATTAGCCTGAAATTAGGACTTGTAGGACTTGTTTAAAACTCCTGAAGAGAAAATGGACACACGGCAATTTGCTCTGAAGGTCAGAAAGTACTCTAAATCCTAAAACTTAATTCAAAATCCGATCATATTTTGAAAAACACTGTTCTCCTGACCTCCTCCTATGTACAGCGCTAGGAGAGCCAGAGCACAAAAATCACACTCGACTAGAACTTTCATTTAGCCGCTAGCAACGCTCCTGGCATCTTGCTAAATCCAGCCGATGTTCAACATCTGGGATGTTTACGAAGCTAGAGGGGGTTTTACCCAGCAGGAGGACCTCAGAAAAAACTTGTAAAATCTAGTAAAGAGTTTTTTTGACCTGCTGTCCTGTCAAGAGAGTTCAGCTTACTGGCTTGAAGCGGTGATTTGGACAAGGAAGGAATGACAACAACATGACAGTCATTATGATTTTCACATCAAATTCTTTCTTTCTTTCTTTCTTTCTTTCTTTCTTTCTTTCTTTCTTTCTTTCTTTCTTTCTTTCTTTCTTTCTTTCTTTCTTTCTTTCTTTCTTTCTATAGTGCTAGGACAAGTTAATACTACATTATTTTGCAACAAGTTAAAGATGTACGTGTTAGCAACATGCAACATTATGTTAGCAAATCATTAAAGCATGCTAGCTACAGGTTAAAGGACATCCGAGCAGTGATGTCATTATTTATTTATTTTTTATAAAAATACAGGCCGTGTCAAAGCAGATTAACAGATAGCAACTGGAAAACAGTAGAATTAATTATGGAAACTTAACTGTACATGTTACAGTTTGCTACACTATATTAGCAAA